TTCCCCTCTTTTTTCTAAATATTAAAAAGTAATTAAATATTTTTCTTTCGGGTATTTTTTAAGTTTAAGGTTCACAAAAAAAAATTTTCCAATTAAATTTTTTTTTTTTTTTTTTTTAATAAATTGAGTCGGGATGCGTTAATTAGTTATTAGTAACATTCGTGACTTTTTTGTTTTATATATGCATCGTTACGATGGTTGTTTGTTGTTTGTTGTTGTTGTTGTTGTTTGTATCTTTAAATTTTGATTTCGACCAGGTAATTAAAACAAAAAAAGTTGGCATATATATTTATTTTGTGGTTGTTGTTTTTGGACTGGTTGGAAAACTTTTTTTTTGTCGAATTCTTCATCTCCTCCTTCGTTACGTTTCGTGTTATAATAATAATAATAATGATGATAATAATGATAATAATTTTTTGTTTTATGGCTACCGTTTTTAAATGAAAAAATTTGTTTTTTTCCCCATCGAATTTATTTTCTTTTTTTTTTTAATCGCACTGAAATAATTTTTTTCTAAAGAAAATTTAAAGTCTCTCTCTCTCTCTCTCTCGTTTCTCTTCTCTCTCTCTCTCTCGTTTCTCTTCTCTCTCTCTCTCTCGTTTTTCTTCTCTCTCTCTCTCGTTTCTCTTCTCTCTCTCTCTCTCTGCTTTTCCTTATCTTCATTTTTTTTTCACTCTTTCTTTCTCTCTCTTCCTCTGCCATCTCTTTTTCTCTTTCTTTTTTTCTTTTAATTTTTAAAAGGATTTTGTCGATAGACATAAACTATCTTTAGCTTTTTCCCTTCTCTTTCCTTTCCTTCTCCCCCCGTCTCCCCAATTTTTCATTTTAATTTAATTTTTTTTTTAAAATCCGCAAATAGTCTGAGATTTTTTTTTTTCATTCATTCATTTAATACGTTAATTATTTTTCTATCGTTTCTTAATCGAATTTTTTCTATAAAATCATTAACAACCTCATTTTTGTTTTCGTTTGTCGTTGTCTCTTCTCCGTTTCGTACAAAAACGAGCGTTCAGATTCGTACGTGCGTATTAATTTACTATTTTTGTACGTGCGTATTTAATTTTTATTTAAAAAAAATTATTTAAAAGCCAAAAACAAAACACAAAAAAATCATTTATTTATTTATTTTCTTTAGAAAAATAATAATAATGATAATAAAAGAGAGAGGAAATTAAATTTTTAAGAGAAAACGGAAACGGCAACATATTGAATTTCGTTTGTTTCAAACAAAAAATACAAACGAAACAATCGTTTGGATGAGTTTCAACGTATGAATAAACCAAACGAAATGAAAATAATTTCAAAAGATTTTATAATTATTATTATTATTTTTTGCTTTCATCCTTAATTCTTAGAATTGAAATTTATTTAATTTTTCACAATCTCCCTTCCCCCCTTATACGCAAACATCCCCCCAAAAAAAAAAGATTAACGTTTCACTTTTCCTCTCTTAACATTATAGAATTTCAATTTACTTCATTTTATTTGATTTAAATAATTTTTTTTAAAGTTGGCAATGCATAAATGTAAGCCCTGTTTTTATTTTAAAGGTTGGCAACAATTAAAATCATTTTTAAAGTTTTTTTATTAAAAAAAAAAAAAAAAAAACAAACAAAAAAAAAAACAAAAAAAAAAAATGAAAAACGTTTCGTCGGATTTTAATGTAAAAAATTTTCTTCCCCTTTCGAAAAAAAAATTCGTTAGGACGATGACGTCATTTCCGCATCACTTCCCGGTGATGGAGGGGGAAAGTCATAGAGTGTATAAACCAATGAATAAATTATTTTAATCGTCGTCATTATCAGGCAGTAAATACAAACGACAAAATTTAGAAACTCATTTTCCATAATCCGTTTCTCCCACTTTCCCTACCACCCTCCACACTCTCTCCCCAATTCCGTTTCCTCCGGTTTCGATTCTCCCTTTTTCCGCTGCTCCCCTCATCTCCTTTCCTCTCCTATTCGTTTCCTTTTTTCAAATATGTCCACATTAAAAAAATTTTTCTTTTTTTTCTTTTTTTTTATATGAGTTACGTCATAATAAATCACCATCGTTATTGAATTTCATTATTATTATTATTATTATTATTATTATTATCGTACGCCATTTTACCTTGTTTACAATAACAAAAACGTAAGGTAATCTCTTAATAAATTATCATTATTATTATTATTAATAATATTATCCGTACCCGTGACGTGTGTTTAAAAAAAAAAAAAAAATTTTCTTTTATGTGAAAATAATAATAATAATAATAATAATTCGTATTTAAAGTTCCAGACTGGAGACTGAAACGTTCGCGTTACGACATTTCAATATGCTTTTATTATTATTATTATCATTATTATTATTATGACTACGTCTGGATTATTTTAGGCGCGAACAATGAAATGTAAGGATAATGGAAAGATAAATCTGTCAAATGTTTAACATACGTATATGAAAAAAAAAAAATTTCCAGGCCATTTTCTCCTCTCCCTCACCTTCTCCTTCCTCTCCCTCTTTTCCCCCTCCAGAAAAAATGCATTCGGGTGTGTGTGGGCCAATTGTTGTTTTATTAAATATCCCCTCGGGGACATTTTAGTAGTAATAATAATAATAATAATAATAATAATAATAATAATAATAATAATAATAATAATAATAATAATAATAATAATGTAAATGAAGAGAGTGAAAGGAAAATATTTTTTTAAAAAAACCTGGAAGGTAAATTAATTATTATTTATAAAAAAAAAAAATTCATTTTTTTCTTCTTCTGCTTCTTCCACCATTATTATTATTATTATTTTAAATAAAATATTAATTATTTGAACTTTGACCCCCCCCCATCGTACATATGTATACACCTAAAAACATTTTATTAGGTTTAAGGGAAGGTGCGAACGGGGAAAAGAATTTTTGGCGGTTTTGACATTTCGAATGACAAACATTAAAAAAAAAAAAACAAAAGAATCGTTACGTAAAATTTAAAAAAAAAAATTATGTTGGCAATTATGTTGGTAATTACGTTGGTAATTTTGTTGGCAACATTGTTCTCGTTTTTTTTGTGTCTCTCTTATTACGTAATAATATTTTTAAATAATCAATTAAATCGATCGATCGATTTACTTATTTCATCCGTTAGATATATCAAATATTTCAAACGAAATTTGTTTTTTATTTTGTTTGTTTGTTTGTTTGTTTGCGTACAAACGGAAATGCCACATTTAAAAAAAAAAAATTTTTTTTCGTTCTTGTTTTTTCCTATTTTGTGATATTTAACGTCCTGTTTAAAACAACAACAACTCGGTACTAAACCTTCCAAGAATTTGAGATTTACCGTCCCACGCGACGACGCCATTCCCCCCCTTCCCCCTCATTTCGATTTTATCGATTATATTATTATTATTATTACTATTATTATCATTATTATTATAAAGTCTTCGACAGGTTTTAAAGTCTTCGACACAAACAACAACAACAACAACAACAAAAGACGAAACTTTACATTTAAAAAATTTAGCGCGAAAAAATTTTAAATTTAAACATAACAAATAATTTTCCAAGGTTAATATAATGAAAATAATAAAGAGCAATAAGAGAAAGAATGACAAACGACAAACAAACGAAGGAACAAACAAAACAATTTTTTAAAAATTTTGCATGTAGGAGCGTCAAGGTTTTTTTTTTTTTTTTATTAAATAATTGACCCCAAAAAAAAAAAAAGAAAAAATTTCAAACGAAAATAATAGTAATAATAATAATAATGATAATGATTATCATTATGTTGGTGATAATAATAATAATGATGATGAATTTCATTAGTTTAAAAAAGAAAATCATTTCGACATTTTTTTCTTTTTTTTTTTTTTTTGTTAAATGAATTTTTACGAAACTTGTTTTTCAATAATTTAAACTGGAGAAAAAGAAAACGAAAAATTTTTATCGTTTTGGAGTTTCATTATTTTTTTGTTTAGAAAATTATTGATTTATTATCGATACCAATTAAAAGCCCAATCGATAATCGATAATCGATAACAAAAAAAATTATTACGTAATTAAATTTCGTTTAAAAATTAAATAAAAAAACTCAAAAAAGAAAAAAAGTTTAATAAAACAAACGAATAAAATTTATCTGCCGGTTTTCTAGAATTTTCTTATTGTAAAAATTATTATTTTGAAATTAATAATGTTATCATCATCATCATCGCCACCACCACCACCACCACCATTATCATCATCATCATCATCATCATCACCATCACCATCAACACCGTAATTATAATTACATTAACGTTTTTGTTGTTGTTGCGATTGTTACATAAAAACCGATAAATATTAAATCCAAAAAAAAAAACAAACATCAAACAACAATAATGATAATGATGATGAACTTTTGACGTATGTATACAATAACCGGTTTGTTTGTTTGTTTTTTTTTTTTTTCTAATACGTTTCATCATTTAGGGCGAACAATTTTTAAATTTCTCCATAATTTTTTATAAAAAAAATAAAAACACGCGATGATCCCACACGAAGAATTTTCTTTTACAATTTCTCTCACGTATCTTTTTGATTTTGGTTGTTGTCGCAAAAAAACTGATAGAAAATTTCATTCATGGAATTCCCTTCCCCCCGACCGATTTCCGTTTGTTGAAATGTCGTCGTAAGAATACAAAAAAAAAAAAATTCGATAAATTCAAACGTCGTAACGCGTACAAATTTATTTGTGCCGGAGGGAAGGGAGCGAGAGGGAGAGAGAGAGGGGGAAAAGAATCATCTGGAATCGTTTTTTATTTTCTTCCAAAAAACGAATAGAAAAATATTTTCTAATGTTGGCAATAATAATAATCATATTTTTAAAATTGATTGTAAACGCGCGCGTTTGTTTGTTAGTTCCACGACTACGACGATTAGGACGACGACGACGACGACGACGACGTTTCGTGATAGCTCGAGGTTATACGTAGGACAATCCATTAATCCGTTTGTGGTTGTGCGCGGTTGCACACACAAACATGAAAATTTACGATCCCGACACGTACACACACGTGTGTGTGTGTTGCACGTGCGTGCACGACCTCAACGCGCCCCCCTTCGCCGTCATATCATATATTTCAAAATGATTGCCATAAAGTCGCGTCAATCATCGTCATCATCATCATCATCATCATCATCATCATCATCCCCGTCGACGTCATCATCATCATCGTCGACGGTTACGATTTCAATTAACCGTTTGTTTGGTGTCTGTTTTTTTGTTTGTGTCTAGGCTTTGGGTGTTGACCGTGTTGAACGCGAGGAAACGCCTAAACGATAAAATTATGTTTCTCATCTTTTTTTTTTTTTTTTTTTTAATACAACCACATACAAACGGTGATTTATCGTAATTGTTAAAAACACAACAATTTTATCCGTTGTTTGTTCGTTTGTTCGAAATAATGGTTGTTGTAATAGGTTTTTAAAAAAAAAATTAACGGTAATTTTTTTAAAAACGTTTAATTTTTATTTCGTTTCAGGGATTCCCTGTTTAGATTATCGATCGGGGATTTGTATCTTTTGGAAAAAGCACCCTGGGAAGCACCCAACGAAAAGATAAACGTTTGTCAAGACAAAGGACAATCCGACGAAGATTGTCATAATTACATAAAAGTCCTTTTGGGTAATGGTAATCTTTTGTTCACGTGTGGAACAAATGCATTTTCACCGGTTTGCACGTGGAGAGAGGTGAGAACCCATTTTTCATTCCATCCTCATCCCACTTTGGGGAGAAGAAGGGGAGCGAGGCACACACACACACACCGACGTGAGAATTTCTTCAAAAATTTTCTTCTTCTTTTTCTCATTTCAGATAACGAATGTTAATAACATAATCGATTGGGTACCCGGTGTGGCAAAATCACCCTACAGTCCTCATGCGAATATCACAGCCATAATGACGGGTAAAAAACAATATTTTGTCGGTTCTCCGACGGATTTCAGTGGAACGGATTCCGCCATAACGAGAACAAATGGAAATCCGGAAGCTCAACCGCTCAGAACAAATCAATTTGATTCAAAATGGTTGAACGAACCGCAATTCGTTGGAAGTTTCGAAACTGATAAATTTGTTTTCTTTTTATTCAGAGAAGCTGCCGTCGAATATATCAATTGTGGAAAGGTAACAACAACCGACAACCGACAAAAAAAGAAATTCCCGTGTGGTAACATTATTATCATTATCATTTTGTTTCGTTTGTTAAAGATCGTTTACTCGAGAATCGCAAGAGTTTGTAAAAATGACGAAGGGGGTCAATTATTATTAAAAGATAAATGGACGACATTTTTAAAAGCTCGATTAAATTGTTCCCTACCTGGTGATTATCCATTTTATTTTGACGAAATCCAAGGAATGGCGTATAATTCTGAACAGAAAATGGTGTATGCCACATTCACTACTCCGAGGTAAGGCTGGAACCATAAACAATCCCTGTAAATAAAGACAAAAGTGAGATACATGTGGGTAATCGGGTTTTTGTAACCGTACAGAAACAGCATACCTGGATCTGCCATATGTGCGTTTAACATGAGCGCAATCGAACAAGCATTTTCCGGTCCTTTCAAACATCAAGTACATCCGGGTGCGGCATGGGAAAAAGATTATTCCCAAAATCGTGATCATTTCGAATGCGAAGCTCCATCACTCACGAGACATTTAATTGATTCAAGTAAATATCAACTCATGGATTCTGCCGTGCAACCCATAACTCCTCAACCTTTGTACAATTCAAATTTAGAGACTCTCATACACATATCCGTTGATTCATTACCGACGAAACTTCACACGTGAGTATTTTTTTCTAGAAAGAAAAAAGGCGGTTTCAATGTTTATTTATTTATTAAAAAAATTATCTTCAGGGACGTTCATTTGTTGTATGTTGCAACGTCGGATGGTCTCATAAAAAAAATATCCGTACTTCCAAGAACGAAAGAAACATGCGTGGTCGAAATATGGAAACCTTCACCCTCGGGTATATCATTACCGATAAAAACATTAAAATATTTAAAAGAAACGGATTCCGTTTATGTCGGTTTGGAAACGGGAGTGCTGAGAATTCCCACGAGTCACTGCCACAGGCATAAAACAAAGGCGTCGTGTCATAATGCCATGGATCCACATTGCGGATGGAATGAACTCTTGCTTCAGTGTACAACCGCCCCCGATGGTAATCCATTGAGTTCACATTGGTTTCAATCGGTTACACAATGTCCGCTATTGAACGTTCCCGGTAAGTTTTCACTTCGTTTTGTTCGTTTGTTGTTTGTACCTACGTTTTTTTAAAAAAAAAATTTTTCTCTAGTCGACGGTGGATGGAGCGGTTGGTCGAATTGGTTCACGTGTTCTCATTTAGGAGAATCCTCCACATCTACGGATGAAAGTATCGATAGGTGTAAATGTAGGACCAGAGAATGTAATAATCCATCACCGAAAAACGGCGGAGCTCCTTGTTCCGGCATATCCGTTTCCGTAACCAATTGCACGGTACGTCGTAAATTGTTTTAAGAAATCGAAGAGAACAATCGAAGGAACTCAAATTTTTTTTCTACCACACAGGTTCACGGTGCTTGGACGTCTTGGTCACCGTGGTCTCAATGTTCACAAAGCTGTGGCATAGCAATAAAAACAAGATATCGTACTTGCGGTAATCCAGCTCCGGCACACGGTGGCAGAGTTTGCGTCGGTCAAGATCGTAATGAAATTTACTGCACGACGAATCCTCCTTGTCCTTCTCAGACTCCACCACCTAGAGACGGTCAATGGAGCGAATGGTCACCGTGGGGTGAATGTTCATCACCGTGTGGCGGAGGTAAAATTTTTTATAAATTCTCAAAATTTTTTTTTTTCTTTATTTTCCTTTTTACAATTTCTTTACCTTTTTTTTTTCAAAGGATTTAAAATGAGGCGTCGTAAATGTGAAAATCCAGATGGCGGTCAAGATTGTCCCGGTTGTCATTTAGAATATGAACCTTGTAATACTCAACCGTGTTTAGAAGCTAAAAAACTTTCGGGTTTGTCTATTAAAAAAAAAAAAAAAAAAAAACCGTTAAAAATATTTCGAATCGTTTCCGTTATTCATTTTTGTCTCTTTGGTTTTTTAGGTTGGACACCCTGGTTGGTTGTTGGAAATTCAACGAGTCGAAACGGTTACACCGAAAAAAGATTTAAATTTTTATGTAAAGCTCCGACTCCAGATCCGGCTCTTATTAAAATAACACAAGCTAAAGAAGATGAAAGATTTTGTTACTCCTCAAGTTCTTGCACCAAAAATGGTAATGAAAGAAACGATAACGAAAAAAATTTTTTTTGTGTAAATTATTAACGAAAAATTAATTTTAGCTCGTACCGGAGACGGTGACGATTCTTGGTCCGAATGGTCACCTTGGTCATCATGTAATAAAGATTGCGGAGGTGGAATCCAAGAAAGAATGAGAGTCTGCGAAAGCAAAAACGAAGATTGCGAAGGTTCGAATTCGAATGGAGAAAATTTGGCATTTTTTGTATACATTTTGACTTATTCAAATTATTTCTTTTCCAGGACAATCCTACCAAAGTAAATCTTGTAACACGCACAGATGCAAAGGTGAATGGAGCTGTTGGACCGACTGGTCACCTTGTTCCGTCACTTGCGGAATCGGTCAACAAACTCGTTCGAGAGATTGTTTTAATTCCGGTACATCGGATAAAGCAGGAGCAAATTGCGAAGGATCTCCATTCGAATACAGGCCATGCGAAATGCAAAGTTGTCACTGTGAGAAACCCTACTATTATTATTATCATTATTTTAAAAAAAAAAAAATGTTAATTAAAATATTTAAATTTATACACAGCATTGCAAGGATGGGACGAATGGTCGGAATGGTCTCATTGCGACGACAACAGCGAACAACACAGGAGGCGCAAATGTCTGACGACGAATCCAGGACCCCAATTGTGTCAGGGAAGAAACGTACAAGCTAGAATTTGCGTTTCTAGTCAAATAATGGATGCAAATTTAGGACGCAGCATGGCAAACACGGCCACGGCAGGAGTCGGAATCGTTTTGGGTTGTTCCCTCGCCGCATTTATGATCGGTTTGTTGGGAGCCATCATGTTGATGTACTACTGTCAGAAAAAGAGAAAAGTTAGAATTCCGGGGAGTCCGCATTACATAACATCGAAACAAAATTCATACGTCACGGTACCACTGAGAGAACCACCCAAAAGGACTCCCTCGTCCGCGAGTAGCAACGTATCATCGTCCAATTATAAAACAACGGCCATGAACGGAAACGGCGGTGGCATCATATCGTCGAAATTATTTTCGAAACCGGCCGAATACGAAACGGCAACGATAAAAAGAAACAGTCATCCATTATCGAACGGACACGCCGTTCGTGCTCAAATGGACGAAGATAAATTTTTTTAATAATAATAATAATAATAATAATAATAATTTATAATAATAATAATAATAATAATTTACAGTGCCAATCGTGGCTACCGGTAATTCGATACGGTGAATGATAATAATTATGCATTGTGCCATCATCATCGCAGGTATTTTAGACTTTGAAACAAGTACCTGGAGTTCATAAAAGAAAAACTTTAGCACCATGTGAGAAAAGTACAAAAATTAATTTGAAAAAATTTATTCGTCATATTTACTCTTAATATGTATGCATGCTTGAATGAATGTAACGAGTGAGTGTTTGTTTGCTTGTTTGTTTGTTTGTTTGTATATATATAAATATATGATAATGTATCCAAATAAGTGACGTAAGATGTACAGATTAGACTAATATTTTAGAATAAAAAAAAAAGAATTTTATTAATAATGATTTGTGTGCAATCGTCCGTATAATATTTTATATTAAATAATTGAATATCGTCGCGTTTCACGCATTTTCAGGCTGTGAATTAGACCACGAAATAAAAATTTTATGTTTTTTATATTCAAGTAAATACTTTGTAGGTTTCTCATAACCGAAAATTATAATTTTTGAATGAGTTTGATAAAATTTACGTAAAGATTTAAAGAAATTTTACCGCCAAAACGAAATTTATCCTTTTACTTTATCGAAAAGTAACAAATTTTCTGCTAAAAAGAACCATTATTCTTTCATTTACGCACAATAAATATTAATAATTTCAAATTATTGAATTCAACCAACGCCATTTTGAAAAAAGTGTCAAAAGAACGTAACTTTTCCTTTTTGTAACGGTCGAGCTTTTTCTCTAACGGTTTTCGACGACGCGCGTAAACGATTCGTAACGTCTCGCGTAAAGTATTTCATTTTCGTTTAATTTTTGACGATAATTTAATAATTTATTTTTAAAAAAAAAGTTTAATAAAATGGTCGTTGCGGTATAAAATATTAATTTGATTAATAATTAATTATATGGAATAGAAAACGGTTTTGTTAAAAGACTGTCTATCATCATGTTATGTTTAACATGATAATTTTTTTTTATTTTTTTCTTTGAGGTTAAATAATAATAATAACTAATTTGTTTTTTGTTTTGTTTAAATTTATGTATATTCTTATTAAAAGTTGAAAAAAAATTAATAACACTTGATTTTGTTTTATAAATTACAAAATGAATTTATTGAAAACAAAAATGATTTTAATGTAAGTTAATAACAAATTTTCTTTATGTAATAATAATAATGATGTAAATATGTACAGATATTAATTGTTAATAATGATTTGTTTTTGTGTGTGTGTGTACATGTAATTATTAATTAAAAAAAAAAAATTATATAATTAAAATAACAATTTTTAATAAAACACATTTGAATATTATTAATTTTAGTTTAGTCGAGTAAAAAATAACCTGAAAATTTTTGTTTTTAAATGTTTGTAATTATCGTGCCAGGCTTTAAACAATTAATAAAATTTATTATTATTATTATTTTTTTATTGTTAATTAATAATAATTTCTTTTTTTTTTTTTTTTTCAATTAAAAAATTATTTTCAAATTATTCGATTGAAATTTCTTTTTTTTGTTGTTGTTGATCCTTAAACTTCTCGATTGATACTGACAAATATGATAAAAATAATTTTTAACGTTTATGTAATTGAGATTGGGGGAGGGGGTGGATAATCTTGACAAATAAATAGAAATTGATAAACAATTTAAAAAATATTATTATCGATAAGAATATAATAATAAAATGACATACATAAAAATTTAAATTTTTTCACCCCATAATTCGATTTGTTCGATAACATAATCCATGTGTTGATAAGTTCTTATAGGATGACATGTTATAACCATTCTAAAAAAATTTTTAAAATTTTTATGATTTAAAGGTTGATAACCTATCATTAATGATCCAGCATATGTGAGTTGTTCTTTTATTTTAGGTGCAACCTGAGAATAATAATAACAAAATTTAATTTCTTTCCAGAGAGAAAAAGAGAGTGAAGAGAGGGGAAAGGATTCTTAATACCTTTTCCAATTCGTTCCACCATTCATCAGTTTGTTCCATATTTCTTAATCTTACTGGAATGTACCAGAAACAAACATTTGTGCATTCGAATTCAGGTAAGACAAGTTGAAAACCAGGTCTGTTTGTTATTTTATCTTTAAAATATCTGCAAAGAGAACAAAAAACAACATACAGATAAAAGGGGGGGGAGTGGGAAATTATTTTGCTGTGTCACAATTCCCAACCTGGAACATTCCATGGCTTGATCGACTAATTTTTCAAATCCAGTATCTCCTCTCGCTTTCCACATAAGCCATAATTTAAAACAATCAACTTTTCTACCGCATTGTACACTCTTATCACCCGTATCGTAACTGACATCGTAAAATTTATCCTGTTGGAATAAATATGTTGCTGATGCTGAATTACACTCGTGTAGTATTTCCTGTGGGATAAAATAAAAATATTATTTAAAGATTATGATGCCCCTTTTCCTTCCCTTTCTCCTCCTTCACTTACCTTATGTTTCGTTAAAAAAATTGAACATTGTAAAGGAGCACCCAGCATTTTGTGTGGATTCCATGATACAGAATCAGCTCTGTAACAAATATTTTTTTTAAAAATTATCATTTCCTTATTACGTACCTGATTATTATCATTATTTAATTCACGCTTACTTGTTTAATCCTTTTAATACTTTTGAATATTTTTTAGAAAATAATAAACTTCCTCCCCAGCAAGCCTGAAATTAAAAAAAAAAATTAACATATTTAACGTTAAGGTTTACCCTTAGGCGCTCGTTCGTTTCGAGTCGTGGCTGTAACCACGACGTTAAAAAACAAAAAACTCACGTCCACGTGCATCCACAGGTTATATTTACTACAAATATCGTTAATTATTTCAATAGGATCGAAAGCACCCAAAACCGTCGTACCTGCGGTGACGTTAACAAAAAATGGCACCCGTCCTTCTTCTTTTGTTTTAATTATCATTTTTTCCAAATGATCCGGTATCATTTTACCAAAATCATCCGTTTTTATTTTAATAACGTTATCGATACCGATACCGATCCAATTAACTCCTTTCATTATGGAATAATGAGACTTGTGTGGGAAGGGGGGGGGAAGGGGGAGGGGAAAAAAACAAAAATTATTATTATTATTATTATTTTACGCGGTGTTAGCATTAACGGAAATCAACTCACGTCTTCTGATGTGAACGCAACCAATTTATTCATACAATAGACCCCCTTTTTTTTTATATCCGGATTTAATTTATATCTTGCTAAAACCATTGCGTACATGTTGTTTAAACTTCCTCCTGTTGGAAAACAAACAAACAAACAAACGATTAATACATTGAAATTGTTTTTCGTTGGTTAATTGTTAATGATATGCGTATGTATGTATGTTTGTTAGTTTGTTAATCACCTGGTGAAAAAATTCCATCACCGTTAATGATTCCTATTAATGATGATAATTTTCTATATAATTCGGATTCGATTAATGTGAATACGGGTGCGATTTCGAATGTTACCCTGAAACATGCATCCAAACAACCTCGGATTATGTTTTTATGTTTTTATGTTTTTTTTCTTTTGTTTCTTTTAAACTTACCGGGAACTCCGATTCCATCTCCTTCCACGTAACCAATTTTATTCAATATTTTTTCAATAACATTACGTTCGCATAATGTGAAACAAGGTGCTACTTCGAACGTGTACCTTAAAAACATGGGTTTTTCATGAGTTTTTTTTTCTTTTGTTTGATTTTTTCCCGCCTACCTTCCCCCCTCCCTACTTCCCACCCTTTTTTTAAAATTCGATAGGGTACGTGTTGCCTTTCGTGTTTTTTTTTTTTTATTCTCCCGACACGACACGTTTAAGCGAGCGAAATTGATTTTTGAAATCGGCGGCGGTGGGGTAGTAAATGGAGTAAAAAAAAGTCGGCGTTCAACAGGTTTTAAATTGATTTAAATAAAAAAAAATTTTTTTCCTTTTTCTCTCTCTCTCTCTCTCTCTATGTCTCTATTTCTCTTTCTCTCTCTTTCTCCTTCCTCCTCTATCTCTTTCTCTCTCTCTCTCTCTGTTTCAAATCCTTTTTCTCCCTCATCCTTTCTTTTCCTCTCTCTCTTTCTTTCTCTCTGTTTCTTTCCCCCTCTTCCTCTCTCTTTTTGTCTCTCACTCTCTCTCTCTCTCTCTCTACGTTTATATATATATCTTTCTGTTTAAAATCCTCTTTCTTCTCTTTCTCTCTCTACACCTCTTTCTATACCTCTTATTGTTTCAAATCCTTTTTCTCCCTCTTCCTTTCTCTTTCTCTCTATGCTTCTCTCTCTCTCTCTCTGTCTCTCTTTCTTTCCTTCTTTCTCTTTCTCCCCTCTCTTTCTCTTTCTATATCTCTTTCTGCCTCTCTCTACATCTCTCTGCATATCTCTTTCTGTTTCAAATTCTTTTTCTCCCCCTTCCTCTCTTTCTATCTCTCTCTCTCTCTCTCTCTCTGTCTCACATTAAAATATTTATATACTCACTGATTTGTGTTTAACGCTTCGGTAATAAAACCTCCAACTAATCCATATGGATCGGTACCGCCGTAAAGTTGATTATGAAAATGTGGATGATTTGTTAAAACGCTGTTTTTTATAACGTCTTCGCATAATTTCAATATTTTATCATCACTTTCACATTTTTCATTTAACGTAAAATCTATTTTTTTCTAAATGTAAAAAAACAAAAACAAACAAATTAAACATGAACAACAAACGAACGACAAACAAACAAAGAAAAAAAAAATTTAAATTAAATCCTTTCTTGCCTTTAAATTATCCGGATGTGAAAAATTCACAACCCTTTGTGATTTTTCCATAGAAGGTTCTAGAACATTAAAATTTTCTAATAAATCAACACAATATTTTAACCATTCATAAGGTGATGATGTCATCATTTCCGTTTTTATATTTTCATTTTTACCACCGGCGAACGACATGGCGGTCGATTTCTAACTGATTGCGAATGCGTCGTAATAATAATAATAATAAAAAAAATGTGAAAGGCGGCAAGCGGCGATTGTGGCGCTTCTTCAACACGCACACGCACACACGCGCGGGTTTTTATATATTAACGGCGAACAAATCGGCGATAGGAATGATAATAATAATAATGTTATACGTAACGATTATAACGGTAAAATTACGTCATTTAAATCGAAAGTAAAAATTTTTCATTTTAAGAATAGAGAGAGAGAGAGAGAGACAGAGAGACAGAGAAAAAGAAATAGACAGAGAGAGAGAGAGAGAAAAAAAGAAATAGACAGAGAGAGAAAGAGAGAGAGAGAAGCAAAAGAGGAAAAAATTATTTTTATAAATTATCTAACAACGTAAATCTCCATCATTTACGCAACCGGTTTTATAATTACTAACGAAAACAACAACAAACAAACAAACAAACAAACGAGTTTTTTGCATAAATGTGTTGATGATAAATCAAATATGGATTTTAAGGGGGGGGGGGGAACGAAACGATTTGAACTATGAACTTTTTTTTTTTGTATAAACTCCTAATAAAAGTGAAAATCGACGATAAACCGCCGACGAATCGCCGTCGCCACCGCCACCGCCGAACCGCCGTAGAAAGTCATTCGATTGTCTTTGTTTATAAAAATAAAAAAAAAATTTTTAACTTTCTAAAAACCTGCGAATTCATTTTTAAAATATTTTTAATTTCGACGCATTTCGCTCCGAGGTTTTTTTTTTTTTTGTTATTTTGGTACCCCTGATAACGGTGATGATAATGATAATAAACGAAAGACGATTCGTAAAATGTTTCCCTTCCCTTCCCTTCCCCCCTCCCCCCCAAAAAAAAATATTCGTTTTAAACCGATTTCAAACTCATCCTTCGAGGTATCTGGTATCGAGTACGATTGCATGCGTAGGTCATCGACCTCCCCGTATATGTGATAATGCCAATAATAATAATAATAATAATAATAGATTCGAAAACGTAACGAAACCAAAACGATGAGCAAACTTTAAAAATTATTTTTTGCGACACGAGAAACGAAAAATAACCAACATTATCATCATTATTATTACTTTTCGTAAAACATTTTTTTAAATGATAATAATAATAATGATGATGATGATGATGATGATAATGATAATAAATAAATGAATAGAAATACGAAGGATTATTTATTATCAATAAGGTTGATTTACTGACTACGAAGAAAAAAAAGTATTAATCAAATTATTATTATTATTATTATTATTATTATTATTAATTTTACACGTTGAAATTTTTTTTTTTTGTTTTTAAATATTAAATTACATAAAATTAATAAGTAAATAATAATAATAATGATAATGATATTGATAATAATAATAATAATAAAAATATATAATGTATTTATGTACTCTTATGTGTGTGTGTGTGTGTTTATGAATTAATCTACAATTGAATTTGTTTTATTATTATTATTATTTATTTATTTATTTATTTACTTATTATTATTTATTATTTATTATTTATTAATTATTATTATTATTAATGCTAATAATTTATCCGCGGAAAAAAAAAAATTTGACTTATTTATTGATTTTTTTTTTTTTTTGCGTTTGTTTTTATTTCATTTTATTTAAAATACTCAATCATTATGATAGTAATGATAATGAAAATGATAATAGTAATGATAATGATAATGATAATAATAACAATAATTACTTAAATGCTAAAAATAATTAATTATATTATATTTATAAATAAATAATAAAAAAAAGAAAAAGGGAGAGTGAAGGAGAGGAAGGGGGCCTGGAGGGAAGGGAAAAGGGGGTGTCACCGGTGATAAGGTAGAGATAAGAGGGGGAAAGAGGGGAGGGGTGGAGGGTGGAGTATTAAGCTAAAAAAAAAATAAGTAAATAAGTAAAACGGGTATACATAATAATTTTTTTTTTTTTTTTTTTTACATTTTACATAATTTTATTTAATAACATTTTTTGATAATTATCATTATTATTATTATTATTAATTTATTTACTTATGTATGTATGTATATATATATAAATATTTAATAAAAATCACTAAAATTTACCATTATTTATTTATTTTATTTATTTATTTAAATAATATATATATATATTTTTTATTTTCATTCATTTAAAAAAAAATTATTAATTAATAACTATTAATCATTATTATTATTATTAATTATTATTAAATTTCGTTTTTTTGAATATCGGAGAGACGGATCGAAAATTGTGGGGGGGTGGAGGGGGGAGAGGGGAGAGGCGGAGGGCACTGTTCATGATATGTTTCGAGTTTTTTTAATTTTTTTGTGTGGTTTTTCACGTGATAATTATCATCATCATCATCATCATCATCGTCAATAACCACTTAATTGTTATTATTTAACTAATTAATTAATTAATAATTTAAAAATAGAAATGAAATAATAATAATAATAATAATAATGACGCAATAATATTTATTATATCTAATCAGAAAAGACGAAAAAAAAAAAAAAAACGAAGAAGAAGGCAAGAGGGTTTTTTTTTTATATAATTATTAATTTATTATTACCACATACAACAAATTTTATTTAACACATTATTTATTTATTTATTAATAATCTATTTATTAAACTATTTAATAAAATTTTATTTTATTATTATACGCTTATTAAACAACATTTCGTTTGTGGTTAGTAATCAACGTAACGTTGAAAAAATTAATTTAAAAAAAAAAAAAATTTAAACCGATATTTGAAAGAGGAGGAGTAGAAGAAGGAGAAGGAGGAGGAAAAGGAGAGGGAGGAGAAGAAAAGGAAAAAAGAGAAAAGAGAAGACGAGAAGGAGGAGGAGAAGGAAAAGGAGAAAAGGAAGGAATAGAAGAAAGAGGAGAAGAAAAGGGAGGAGCAGAAGGAATAGAAAAAGGAGTAGGAGGAGGAATACGAGGAGTAAATGGAATAGAAGAAGAAGAAGGAGGAAGAATAGGAATAGAAGAAGGAGAAGGATTCCCGAAATGAAGAGAGAGAGAGAGAGAAAGTAAAGCGGAAATATCGGTTTAATAAAATTCAAGACGTTTTGGTCAGTTTATAAAACAAAATGTCCGACTTTCCAACAAGTTAAATAATAATAATAATAACGATATTATCTCCATATACATAAAACATAAACAAAAAAAAAAAAAAATCAATCAATAAATAAATAAATTTTCACATCCCTATAATATAAATATATATGTGTGTCTCTAGAACGAACGCACGCATAATCATATTCGATAGAAACCTATCATCACACATATATATATAGGTATTTATGAGTGCGTGCGTACGCGCACTCACGCACACGTTATTCAAAACGTGGACAAAAAAAAGAAAAAAGAAAGTAAAACGAAAGCACGACGGCATAAGCTTTTTTTTTTTTGATATGTGATTATGAGCCACGCCGTGGCGTGCTTTGGACGGAAACGAACGCATTTACACATTCTGACAAACGATCGACTGATTGACTCTCTTCTCCGTTCACGCCGCCATATACGTACGTGAAAAGAAAAAAAGAGAAAGAAAGAGAGAGAGAGAGAGAGAGAGTCGATCGACGTCACAATAAGCAAATTATTATTATTATTATTATTATATATATATATATATATATATATATATATACTTTTTTTTTCAAAGTGAATTTTTTTTTCTCTCTTATCACTTCAAACGTTATCAATTTTCTTATATATATATATATATATATATATATATATATATATATATATATATATATATATATATATATATATATATATATATATATATATATATATATTTTATACAATTAATATAAATCTAAAAATATAATAATAATAATAATAATAAATACTGAGGATATATGTTTATTATTATATATATATAAATTAATTAATTTTATCAATAATAATAATAATAATAATGATAAGGAATATATATATATATATATATATATATATATATATATATATATATATATATATATAAATTAAAATTAAAAGCCCGGCACATACAAAATTATGACGAGAAACAAAAAAAAAAAAACGAAAAATTTTTAATTATTTTATTGCCGCCGTCGCTGTCGCGCGCCACCGTCGCTCATGCTCCAGCTCCAGCTCCAGCTCCTGTTCCTGCTCTGTTCCTGCTGGTTCTGCTTCTATTCTTCGATGATGATAAACAATCCGATGATATTAGGATGATGTGAATGAATGGGGATGAAGGAAAGGATTTGACAAATAAGTAAAAATATGTCGTCGATACAAAATGGCTTCCGAAAATTTATTATTATTATTATTACCGTTAATAAATAAATAAATCGATCGAATCAAATATGGCGGTCGTGCGATGATCGTTCCCGTAATGAGAAAAAAATTTTTTCATCAAAGTCTTCATCGATCGATCGATCGATTGATTGATTGAATGATCGAAATTTACGAATTTTCCAGTAAAATAATAATAATAATGATAATGTTAATGATGATTAAAAATCATTCTTTGACTGATTAGATTACTATTATTATTATTATTATTGCTATTCATCGTACGACTCGTCATCGTCGTACAAAATAATTACATCATTGTAAAAAAAAAAATTATTATTATTATCATCGACGACAATGATAATAATGATAATAACAATGATAATAATAATAATAATAAAATGAACGACTCCAATAAATAAATAAATAATCGGGACGGATTAAAAATTAATTAACTAATAATAATAATATTATTAAATAAAGATTTCCATAAAGTTATGTTAAAAAATTACTACGATGATGATGATGATGATGATGATGATGATAATAATAATAATAATAATAATAATAATCGTCCACGTGACTTTAATAAAAATAAAAAAAAAAGGCATTAAACATAAGCGTGCGCACGTTAAAATTTTATTTATTTATTTATTCATTCGTTTATTGTATTTTATTATATTTTTATGAGGTACATAAGTTAATAAATAAATACATACATACATACATAAATACATAGATACATAAATAAATAAATAAATAAACGAATGAATAATTATCGTGACGAGATGGAGTAAAATGATATGTTTGCGATATTTTTTTTTTTACAAATATATAGATTATCAATAATTATCTTTCAATGAACGATTGAGAAACACGTCACATCGATCGATTATCGATTGATCGATCGATAATCGATGCGATCGATTTAAAAAAAAAAAAAATTCATTACATCATCATTATCATTGAATATGATTATTTTGTTTATTGCTTTCTCGAAGTATGTGTGTGTGTTGTACTAAACGTTTGATTTTTTTTTACAAAAAAAAATTTTTTTGCCCCCCCCCTCTCCTCTCTCCCTATTCTCCTCTTATCTCGCTTTATTTTCATTATGATGACGTCAATTATGACGTCGACAATGACGATGATAACGGTTATAATAAATATATATGTATATATGAATAATGCGTGTTTTTTTTGCACACTACTTAATATAAGCTAAATAATAAAAAACGATTTCTTATAAGATGTAAGGGGAAGAGAATAGGAAGAGGAAAAGGGGGAAAGGTGGGAAGGGGAGGGGAAAGAGGAGAGGGAAAAAGAAATTAAAATAATTTCTCTTATGAGGAAGAGGAGGAATGAGGAGGCACCTTTGGTTTCGACATTTAATTTTTTTTTTTTCTTTGGTTTTGCGACGTCATCGTCGTCGTCGTCGTCGTCATTGACGTCACGAGCAGAAAACCTAATACCTGTTTACATCTTTTCTTTAAATCGCGGTAACAACAACTAACACAAAAATCGAATTTGACGCGCGTAAAAAATTCGACGCGAAAAACGCAACATCAATAATATTTTTATCATCATCATCATCATTATTATTATTATTTTTCATCAGCCTAAAAAAAAAAAACCTAGACTTGATTCATTGGAAAATTATTTTCCTTTTTTTTTTTTTTTTGACAAAATGTTGTGTTGACTAACGTTAATTTCCGGTTTCCGGTTTCCTACTAGTTGAAATAAAATAAAAATTTCGTAATTGACTTTATATCAATAATAATTAACTAAGTAAATAATAATAATAATAATAAATTTAAAATCCCACGCACGAACACACGCACGCATACGCATCGATGAAAATTTAAAACCTTCCATTATTTTTCAACGACATTTGAAGAGAAAGGAAGAGAGAGAGAGGGAGAGTTAAGGGGAGGAGATAGAGAGAGGGGGAGGGGGTAAAAGGACCGAAAAAGGAAAGGAAATGAGGTTTGGTTTGATTTGTCCAAAGGTGATCCATATGTACTGTTTTTTACGAAATAAAAAGTTGGAATCGGTCAGCAACATGTTGATACAGCATCCTTATCATTCTTATCACCCTTATCATCGTTATCATTATCATCATAATAAACATTCTTCCCTTGTAGTCAAGTCCTGAGTTGTAGGAATGAATTAAGATTGTCCGTTTTCTTCTCCTTTGTGGCTCTGCTGGCGACATAAAAACAAAAAAAAAATTAAAATTTAATTTATTAATTTATTAATTTTCAAGAAACGTGGCACCAGATTTATGAATGACAATAACAAAAAAAAATTTTTTTTTCTTTTTTTACCTTTGTTACCTTTTGGATTCGTGTGATCATCATCATCGACTGAAATCAAAATTTTTTTTTTTTAATAGGAAATAAAGAAGGAGGAGGAGGAGAAGGATGTTGTTAAAGATGGACGGATGACGTTTGTTTCGAAAAAAGAAGAGAAAAATACTTCACCTCGGCCATTTTAGCTTTTGCATATTCGACTCGAATCGCTCCACGATCGGAGGATAGGAGAAAAGTTCCGTGCAAAGCTGCCTTGGCATGACCCGCACACCTGACATCTTGAAATTCGACAAACGCCACCGGTGATCCCCCTCCTTGACCCTTGGCGTGCATGCGAAGCCGACTGAAGCCTGGTAGGCTAAAAGGGTTAGTGCGTTTTTGTTAGTGGTCGAGTGCTAGGGTCGTGTCATTAGTGAGCGTTTGTTAGTTTATTAAATAAAAAAACGCGAGCTAAGAGATGGTGGAAGCATCGTAAACAAAAACAAAAAAAAAGCACCGGAAAGAAATAATATTTTTTTCTCATGTTAGTACTAATGCTAAACTCAATCAAAAGTGGCAAACCTGGCCGTGGATGTGAGACAAAGACAACAAAAAAAATTACGTTCGGAAATGTGAAAAAATGTGTGTGTGTGTGTTCGTGTTTGCGTGTTTGTTTGTGTGTGTTTGTGTATCTTACATACGACAAACACAATCGACGAGTGCTTTCTGTGAAATATTTCGTGACGTCATAACTTTCTCTCTTTCCCTTATCGCATCTTCACCACCGCCACCATATTTCACAGAAAGTCGTCGCGGACACAACAAAACTACTACAATATTGTGACTGTCATACACAGACAGGGCCGTATGTGTGTGTATGTGTGCGTGTGCGTGTGCGTGTGTCGCACCTTCGTGCCTGTGTCGCGAACAAAACAAACCAAAGTTTTGGGTCAAAGTTATTGTTATGATATTCACCTGCTAAATATTTCTTTGAGTTCGTGTTCGGAAACGAATTGACCCAAATTAGCAACAAATAGAGTAGAGCAAGGCGGATTTGCAGGCTGCGAGGCCGATGAACCAACTGGTGATGCAAGGCCGGGCGACGGCAAAAAATGAGGCAGCGACGCATGTATAGAAGTCAACGCTGTCGGATGAGGAATCGAAAGTGATGGCTGGAAACCAAAACAAAAAAAAAAAAAAACAATTAAAACGTGTTTTAGTACATTAACGTAAAAAATGACGTCACGTCACGCCACGTCTACCCATCTTTAAAAAAACACGTGACGCCATTTTATAATTAAAATATATTAATTCAAAAAAAAATGACGAACGAAAGCCGTGATTGAATCTGGCGCGTGATTTAATGATAATGATGATAATTATGAGATTCGTTACATTCCGCAAGCAGTAGAAAACAAACAACAACCAAAAAAATTTCTTGTTTATTTATTCTATGACCGTAAGAGAAAATCAACCCTTTTTTCGTTTTTTCATTTTTTTGATTATAAAATAAAATGAAAAAGTTTATCGACGCACGTGTAAAAAGATTTTATTTATGAAAAAAGAAAAATTACACATTCGTGGCAGAAGACGAAAGGAAAAAAAAAAGTGTCAAAATTTCCTAACTAAAAAAAATTGTCTACGTCGAAATCGATTTTTACCTTAAAAAAAAAAAAAAAAACTTTTTTTTTTTTTTTTTGTATTCTGCTCTGGGCAATCGTGATGGATGAAAAAATGAAAGAAAGAAAAAATAATAATAATAATAATAATGATGATGATGATTTTCACGAAGAAAAGTAAAAAATTAATTTTTTTTTGTTTGTCGGCGACGAGGGGGGGAGGGGCTGTTACCCCCTTCCCGCATAAAAAACAAAATGAAAAGTTTTTTGATTGAAATTAAAAAAAAAAAAAAATGAAAAAAAAAAGTTTTTTAATTGATCCGTTGGAAAACCTTAATTACTTTCAACAAACAACAAACAACAACAACTTTTATATAATTTTTTTCCGTGTTTGTTTAAAAAAAAAAAAAAAAAACGCATGCAAAATTATTATTATTATTATTAAGTGATTTTTTTATTTTTTTCCACGAGTGTCGTGATAATGATGATGATGATTAACATTCGTGCACGTTGTATGCAACAACCAACAACAGGAACAAATTATAACAAAAAAAAAAGGAAAACAAATACAACACAACCGGTTGTTGTTGTCATGAATTTTGTGAGAAAATTTGTGCGGTTAAAAAAAAAATTTGTTTAAGTTTTAGCAATTTTTGCGTGCACGATTTGTGTAAAAAAAAAAAGTGGTACTAGAATAAACGAACGCATCCGATAAAAAAGAGCAGTGGGGAGACGTGGGGGGGGGGGAAATTGCAAATAAACGAACGTAAAATGCAGCATTAGGCAAACAAACTAGAGAACAAACGAAAGAAAGAACGAGTGAACGAACGAACGAACGAACGAACGGGTTTTCTCTTGACTAACATGTGTATCCTGGGCTTTATCCGCAGCTAGTCAAAGATAGGAACGTACTGGCACCTGTGGGTGCAGAGCTGGATGTACTAAGGCGGCATGTTGAAGCGCAGCACCTGGCAGCTCTGCCGAATATGCCAGCGCCGGATGATGCCAAAGTTCAGCTGCTCCTGGAAAAAACGGTGCCGACAAATCTGAAACAACAAACGTCAAAAATCGTTAATTAATAATACGGACACATGCACACGCACAAGCACACGCACGCACGCACTCGTCAAACCGTCTCTTTCCCCCCCTTCCTCCCTTCCCCGTCAATGCCTTACTTTAAATTTCTATTGTCCGACATTATTTAAACAAATTACACGGATGAAAAACAAAAAAAAATAAGAAAAAGAGGGCGAGATAGAGTGAAAGAGCGAGAGAAAGAGAGAGAGACAGATAGAAAGAGGGAGAGAAATAGAGAAAGTGAAAGAGAAAGAGAGAGGGGGAGGAGGGTTTTTGTTCATTTTTTGATTTATTTACTTTTTATTAATTTTTTTATTAAAAAAAACAAAAATTAAAAACAAACAAACAAACGAACAAACGAGCACAACATCCAAACAAACATATGCAAATCAAAATCGGTTCATTTTTTTTTTTTTGAAAATGTCAAACCGGAAACAATTGAACAATTTTTTTTTTTTTAATTTTTACTTCCTGTCTCTCCCTTCTCTCGCCTCCTCTCCTCTCCCCTCGCCTCACCCCACCTTTTTTCCCGTCTTCCTCTGTTTAAAAGGTTTTCGTGTTTTGATTCTCATCAAATTTCCGTCGTGTCAGCAGATAGATATTTATTGTATAATAAAAATAATAATAATAATAATTTCGTCACATCTTTTTCGAGTGGATATAAAAAAAAAAAAAAATATTAAAAAAATTTCCCCCCCCCCGTTTCTCGCGTTTCGATTGGAAAAGTCCGAGAAAGAGTTTTCCTGATAAGAAGAAAATAAGTTATCATCATCATTATTGCAAAAAAACCACGAATGAAAAACACGTAAAAGAATTTCGTATTTGTTTCTCTCACACTTCCGGAAGCCAATTAAATTTTTTATATTTTACCACGCCGCCATTTTGAAAATTCGAATCGTTTCGAATCGTTTAGGTTTAGCACCGAAACTTTCTAACCTCTCTCACCCCCCCTCCCCATCTTTTCCAAAAAAAAAAAAAAAACACAGGACAGGACCGTAAATAATAACACAATTAAATTTAAATCGATTATTAATTAATTTTACGGTCTTTGTTTACTTTCCCGTATTTATTCCAGGCTAACAGGCGACCTAACAGTCGTCTGCTGGGGAGAAAAAAACCCCCCAAAAAAATTTTTATTAAAACCGCCTTAAAATATTTTATTATTCCTACCGCAATACAAATGAGAAAATTTTTTGTGCGTTTGGCATCCCACAGAGTCCGCATGATTAAAACATCCTTTCATTTTTTTTCTCTTTTTCCGTAGTATCATTATTATCGTTATCATTATTATCATCATCATCCTTCATTTTCTGACGGTGGCAACAGCGTCAGCGGCAGCAGCGGCGCAAACCGACTCAGGCAGGGTTCGAACGCTTAAATTTTATTTTTTTTTCCGGTACGGGAAAATTTATAAGTTGTCTTAACTCGACGTATGAAAACCATCGGAAAATTAATTTTTTAACAAAAAAAAAAATACGTTCTCATACGTTTATTTATTATTTAAAGAAATTTTTTTTTGAAAAACATAAAATAATTTTTTTTTTTTTTACTTTTTGAAAAATTAAATTTTTAAAAAATAGTTTTCCGACCTTGAAAGAAAACCTTTTACTGGAAAATAGGGAAAACCCGGAGCGGGGGGCGGGGCGGTGGAGCAAAAACAGAATCGATTTCGGGGAAAAAAAAAAAAAATTTTAAACTCCCTAAAGAAAAAAAAAATCGATTTTTTCGAAAAAGTCAACAACTTACAAAAGTTTCTGTTTGTTCGTTTGTTTGTTTGTTTGTTTGTCTGTCTATTCCTTAATTAGTTCATCTTTTGTATTTGTCTTAACAATATTTTTTTGATGACAATATTATTCTACGGTGTGTCCAAAAAGTGGTGCTCAAATGTGCACTGCACGAATTGGAAACAATCGAGAAATTTTCAAAAGGATTTTACAATTTCAAAAAACCACTTTCTAATGACACGTTCAAACACACGCGCACGCGCACACACGCTCGGAAAATTAGAAGAAGAAAAAAAAAGTGTATCAAAGTGATTATATATGTATATATATATATATATGTATAAATACTTACGGCCAGTGAGGGAGTGCACGAGTGTCGGGTGGGCGGTGGCGCTCGCAGCTGCAGGTTGCTTGGGCTTGCTAACTTTCGTGTTACTTTTGGCAAACTCCAGGCGGATCGTCTGCGGCAAGTCGGGGTCAAAGCGTACACCCTGCTGCGGGACCAATTATAAACAGGATTACTATATATATATATATATGGCAGCATATTATTTATATTACTTCCGGTGGTGGTGGTGGCAGGAGAGTGGAGAGGGAAAAGGTTTATTATATAAAGAGTTGACCGTCTGGTGGTGGTGGTGGGGGTTGTACCGGTGGAAAAATTAAAGTGGTAACAGTGCGGAAAAAAGGATTAAAACGGAAGAAAATCACCCCGAAAGAAAGGAAAAAAAAAAAAAAAGAGTCAAACTTTTGTGTCGTCATCATCATTATTATTATTATTATGCGTGTTTAAAACTGTGCTCACTCGTGGGCAAAAAAAACGTGCACGTGTTTGCTCATGAGATTTTGTCTCCCCTTTTTTTCCACCCCCTCCCTCCCTCCTCTCCTACTGTATTTTTCCCGTTGGGGAAAGGAAGAGGTGAGGGTCTATATTTTTTCCTTCGTGTGTGTGTTTCTGTGTTTGTGTGTGTATGCGCGTGTTGTATGCGTGTGTGTGTGTGTTTGTCTTTCTAATCGAATCCTATCGAATCGCATTTTCCCTCTTTTCCTGTCATTTTTCACGGCCATTTCATTACATTAAGTTTGACTCATTCGACAAATTTTCTTTTTTTTTTTTTATTCCTTCTACTTCCGGTTTGTGGGGACGAGGGGGGAAACGTTAGGAAAAATCATAAAGGCGATAAGGATGGAGCAGCCAACATGGTAATGATGATGATGATGATGTGGTGGTGACGGTGGTAGGTGGTCGGTGGCGATGGGTGGTGGGTGTGTTCATTCATACCTGTAAATCTTGTTTTGCTGCTTCCGCTCCTGCTCTCGTGTTAAACGTAACGAATCCTACCGGCGATGCGGTTTTACCATTTTTACTTGTGACTTTGAGCAATGAACCTTCATAACCCTGAAATCATTTTTCATTTATTTAATTGTGAAATTGTCGCCATCTTGTTTTTTTTTTTCACGTCGTGGAATAAGAACTCGCGAAAATAGAAATTTTCAAAAAAAAAAAAAAAAAAAATCTCTTAAATGTATATTGATTCGCTTTCAAATTTTTTTCACATTCGACATTCTCTCTCTCTCTCCCTCTCTCTCTCTCTCTCTCTCCCCCTCTCTCTCTCTCTCTCCCCCTCTCTCTCTCTCTCTCTCTCTCTCTCTCTCTGTGACTCTCTTTCTCTCTCTTTTTTCTATCCAAAAAAAAGATTTCAGAATTTTTTTTTAATAAAATAAAAAGTCAAGAGAGAGAGAGAGAGAGAGAGAGAAAAAAAAATTTTGTCTTTTTTTTTACTTTTTTTCACTTTTCTTCTGCCACGTCTTTTTTTCAATTTTTTTATTTTTTTTCAAACTCACTATGCGAGTTTCTTTTTTCCTGGAATGTCTTTTACAAATCAAAATTTTTCCATTTTTTCTTTTTTTTTTTTTTTCTTTTTTTTCTTTCTTCTTTTTTTTCTTTCTGATTTTGAAAACTTCTTTATGCTTTAAGTCAAAAATAGAAAAAGAAAGAGAGAGAAAGTGAGAGAGAAAGAAAAAAATAAAAAAATTGATTAAATAAAAAAAAAAACCGAAACTGCGATTGATAAGTTTGAATCAATTGAACATTCGGAAAAGTTATTACAGTTTATGAAATCTTAGGAAATATATATAAATACATTTGGCTTTTTCATAAACCGAAAAAGAGAGAAAGAGAGAGAGAGAGGGGGGGGGTGCAAAAACATATATTCATCAATTAAATTTTTTAAATCAACATGGCCGAAACGACACGAAAAAAAAAAATTCAAATCATTTTTTTTTTTTCAAGTGGGTAAAAAAAGTATCGTGGAAGAAGAAGAAGAAAAAAAGAATAAAAAAAAATTAGAAACATTTTATGAAAATGAGAGAAAAAGAAAAAAGTATCGTTAAAAAAAAAAAAAACGTTTACAAAATTATGTCGTGCCAATAGACGTTTATCATCTAAACGCAAAAAATAAATCAAAAAAAAACATAATAATAAACGTCAATTTTTTCTCTCTCTTTTTTTTTTTTTTAAATGTAAAATTTATGTAAAATAAAAAACTATTATTATTATTATTATTATCATCATTATTATTCACGAAACCATTATCGATAAAGCATCGTTATTAGATTCTGAGAGTAAAAAAAAAAAAATAAAAAAATAAAAAAAAAATAAATTTTTAATTTTGTTTCTTTTCCCTCCCCCTCTCTCTCTCTTTCTCCCTCTTTCCCTCTCTCTCTTTTTAATTTCCGCGCGCTTTTTTTTTTTTTTTAATAAAACTTACCTCATAAGCCCGAAAAAGTAAATAAAGTTCTCTTGGTTTAGCATCCATTGGTAATCCACTAACGAACAACGTTCGAACCTAAAACAGAAAACAAAAAAAAATCATCATTATTATTATTAAACATGCAAACAGCGCCCCCTGCTTTTGTTTTTTTTTTCCTTTTTTTTTTTTAATTAAAATTCGCCCTGAAAAAACATTAAAAAAAAAAAAATTTGCACACGAGTAATAAAAAAAGGAATAATTTCCAAAAAAAAACAATACGACGGTTATGACGTCACCGAAAGAAAAACCGGAAATAAACGTGAGAGAAAATAATAATAATTAACCATCACACACACGCGCGCGTATTAATATTTAACGGGAAAATAAAAACTTTTTTTTCTTTTTTTTCTGTTACGACTGCGAAAAATGAACAAATGAAAGAAACAAACGAACAAACAAACGAAAAAATTAAAATTCAAACAAATCTTTTGTTTAAAGTGTATTTAAAGAAAAGCGGGAAAGATAAAAAAAAAAAACAAAAAAGTAAAATTCGAAAATTTGCAAAAAGGAAAAAATAAATTATGTAAAAAAAAAAGTGCACGACAAAGGAAAAAATAAAAAGGTATATGTGTGTGTGTTTGCATAGGGAGACACGCACGCACGCACTCACTCACTCAATAAAACAAACGCTAGTAAATTTTTTAATTATTTATATGTCGGCGACGTGACGTGGCAAAAAATTAGCAGAAGACGCATAAACAAACATCAGAATAAATTTCAGGTTTTTTTTTTGTTTGACTCCTTTTCGAGGCAATTCGCATTTTTCCGACGATACCCGATTCGATCAATCGTGATGACGGTGACGACGCGGGAGGGGGAGGAGTTGAACATGTGGTGATGGCGGAGTGGGCGGGGACATGAGGAGAAAGAGGAGGAGGAGTTTCAACATCGGATCTCCCCCCCACCCTTTTGGAAAACAATCTGCTTGCCACTCGATTCTCTCAAACGTTATGTTCAAAACTCGTCATTATTATTATTAATAAAAAAAAAAAACAATATGGTATTAATATTTAGCTTAGCGTCGTATCAATTAACTAACAATAAATTTTTAACGTTTTTAAATGAAGTAAAATAATAATAATAATGATGATGATGATGGGGAATCATTGAAGGTTTAAAGTTAATTGAAGTCATGTCATGCATAAAATTATTCATTTATATTCAGCGAAGGTTGTGTCTCGGAAAGTTGTACGGCCGAACGCACGCATGTACGCACGCACGCACGCACATACGCAAGAACGCACGAACGCATACGACAGGACCAACCAGCCCCGGACGGTTTAAAAAGGCGGTGGTTTTTTCACTTCCGCTCAACGTTCCGCGTATATGAACGTAACGACTTTCCCGATATCGGTCATGCAACAAATGATTTCCGTTTTTCTAAATTTAAATTTATTATGTTGAAAATTTTTTAAATAACAAAAAAAATAAAAACTTTATCGATTCATCCATCGATCGATCGATCGATTAATCGAATGAAACGATTAACGAGAACAAAAAAAATTTTTTTTTTTTAGGGCGTGCAAAATAAACGGGCGACATTTTTAATGACGTCATCAAATAATATTCCGTATATTTGTTCGTTAATTAATAAAAACCATTTTGAAAGAGAGAGGGAGAAACCGGAAATACAGAAAAAAAAAAATAATAAAGATCTAATTCCGTAAATGAATTTTTTTTTTTTTTGTCGAATTGAAAGCAGCAACCAATGGCGGCAACATCTGAAAATGACAGTTTCAAAGGAAAAAAGGAAAAAGGGGAAATTTTTTTTTTTTTTTTTTGAATTTTAGGTTTTTGCGGTTTCGACGTCGGCGGCAAATAAGAAAATGAAAAAAACGACGGCGAAAATATAAATATATATTAAATAAATTTAAATTTACTCGTCGTCCTTTGCGGCGATCGAATCAGTTTCCGGTTGAGGAAAATAAAAATAAAAAAACCGGAAAGCAGAAAAGGTTAAAAAAAAACCCGCCATTTTAATTTTTTTTTTTTTAATTTTTTTTCTACTTCTTTCGTACCTCTTTCCTCCCACCACCTCACCCACCCATCCCCTCCTCCCCTCTACACCGAATTTTCCCACGTTTTCCTTTTAACCGGTGAAAAAAAAATTATCATCTTCATCATTATTATTATTATTATTTTTTTTTCCTCTCGCGATTCAACGACGATAAATATAAATTAATTTGCGTGAAAATTTAGACTAATTTTTTTTTTTCCTTTTCTTTTCTTTTCTTTTTTTAACGTTTTTAACTTTTCCTTTTATTTTTTCCTTTGTCACATAAAGTAAACATCATTTTAAAAAAATAATTTATATATAATAAAGATAAAACTGTTTGTCTGTTTGTTTGTTTTTTTTTTTTTTTAAATCTTCTTGAAAAAACTTTCGAACAAAATAAAAAAAAAAGAGACAAAGGAAACAAAGGAAAGAGGAGAAAAAAAGGAAAAAAAATATTTTTTTTTTCCCATCTTGAAATATATTTCATGTTTATTGCGATACAAAATTTAAATTTTCCCTTTTGAAACGAACAAACGACATTCAAACAAACTCTCCCACCTACTCCTCCCCTTCCCCTTCTTTACTCCTTCCCCTTCCCCTCGATTATTTACAATTTAAAATGTTTTTCCTTTGAAATTCAATAGCAGCATGAAACAAACGAATCATTTAAAAACAAAACAAAAAAAGGAAAAGTGGCATCGAAATGTTGAAATCAAAGGAAAAATCGATCGATCGATCGATTTCATTCGATTTCCATGTTATTTCACGTCCAGATTTTAATTTAAGTGTTGTCGAAATTATAAAATATTACGTATAAACAAAGGTAAAAATAAAAGGAAAAAAGGAAAAAAAAGGAAAATGAAATGAAATGAAAGAAAAATTTCGATTGTCGGCGGAAATAAGGCCGCGAGGATTAATTTTTCATTTTTACCAAAATAAAACAAAAAAAAAATTTTTTTTCCTTTTTTTATTTTTTTCTCTTTCTTTTTTCTCTTTCCTTTTTCTTTCCAAATCGAAATTTTGTTTAAGAAAAAACAAAAAAAAAACTAAAAAAAAATTCTTTTTCTCTCAAAGGTATCATCACGAACAAAAAAAATTTTTTCCTTTCTCCTTTCCGCTTCATTTTTCCTATCCTCTTACACGTGCTCTCTCCCTCTCTCTCTCTCTTTCTCTTTCTCCTCTTCCTTTCTCTATCTCTAATTCTCTTTCTTTTTACCCCTCTCTCTCTTCTTCTGTTTAACACGGTCTTTCTTTTTTTCTTCCTTCCTTTTTCTCTCACTCTTTCATTCCCTTTCCTTCTCTCTCTCTTCCCTCTACACTTTTTCAAATCAAAACTTTTTTCTCTCCCCTCCCTCCCCTTTCTTCTCCCCTTCCCCCCTTTTTTTAAATTAATAGTTTAAGTACGACGTCAAATTTCGCGTGTGCGAGAAATAAAAAAAAAACAAAAAGAAAAATTTTTTTTTATTGGGGAACCGACAGGAAAAGGGAAGGAGAAAAATAGGAAGGAACGAGAGAGAGAGAGAGATAGAGGGAGAAACAAAAAAAAAACAAAAAAAGGAAAATGAAAAGGAAAAGAAGAAAATTACTTTTTCATTTTCCTTTTAATTTTTTCCTTTTAAATTTTTTTCCTTTTTTTGTTCGAGATTAAAAAAAATAATTTTTTTTTTTTTTCGATCAATTCCTTTTTTCCTTTTTCCATGTTGATTCTCACACAATTTAATTCCGTGATACTTCGACCTGCCCCCCCCTCTTCCCTACCCATCCGGATTGTCTTATCTTCTCTCTCCCTCCCTCCCCCTCCCCCTCTTTGATTTTGTCTCATTGCTTCATTTTTAACTTCATTTTCATTTTTACTCGACGCCGCCGCTTCCCTTCCCCTTCCCCGACCCGCATTTTTTTTTAATTTTGTACAACAACAACAACAACAAACAGAAAGAAAAAAAAAACTTTTAAAAACTTTTTACAACTTTAATTTTCTTTTATCGTTTATTAACTTCGTTTAAACATTCGTTTCCAACTTTTTTTTCTTTTTATTTCCGCTTTTCCTCCTCTCCTAATTTTTTTTTTTTTATTCTCTTCCTTTGAGAATATAATAAACAAAGGAAAAATTCAAGCAAATGGTAAAATCCGCAGAGGGGAAAACAAAAAAAAAACGAAATTTTTTAAAAATTTATTTTACTTATCGTATTAATAATAATAATAATTTGTCGAAAGAAACGTTGTTATTATTCATACGACGCGAAACCGGAAACGGAAATACAAAGACGGGAAAGCAACGAAAATAACCCGATTAGCAGTAGACGAAATAGGAATATTTTTTTTTTCTAAACTTTTCGTTTCGCGTCATTTTGTCGTCTGCTGTCGCCTCTTGCAAAAAAAAAGGGAGGGAGGAGAAGTAGGAGAAAAATTTAAATAATAATAATAATCCGTCATTTCCAGAGGAAAAAAAAAAACTTTTGAAAAGTCAAATCAAAGGAAAAATTAAATGGAAAAAAAGTCGTGGGAAAAAAAAACAAAATTGCGTTTTTCTTTTTTGCCCCCCGCTTTTCCCTTCCCCTCCCCCTGCTTTTGTAATTAGCATTCGTCATTCTTACTAATAAGAAAAAAGGGGAAGAAAAAAAAGTTTCAAAGTAAAAGGAAAGAAATAAAAGTAAACATGAAAAACCAATTTTAAACGTTCTAAAAATTTAATGATTTGAAAAGAAAATGGGGGAGGAGGGGGGAGAAAGGAACGGACGGTGGGTGAGTGAGAAGGGGAGTCAAAGTGTGACGTAATTAAGCGACGACCAACGACGAAGGGAGAGGAAAAACGCTTTAAAAAATTTCCATTTCGAAATGGAAAACAAACAAAGGAAACAAAAAAAAATTCTTTTTTTTTTCCTTCCACTCTCATAGTTCGCGTCCGATTTTTTATATGACGTCATAATTTGTTTCCTTTTTATAAAAAAAAACTTTTTCCTTTGATTTTTATTTTACTCTCAAGGGTAATGAAAAAAAAAAAATTGACTTCAAATTTATTATTAAATAAATAAATTTTTTTATAAACAAATTTTTCCACAAAAAAAAAAAACAAAATTTTCCCGCCAATCACCTCTCTCTTTCTCTCTCTTACTCCCTCTCTTTCTTTCTTTCACTTATTCCGTTTGTCTTCTTCCACGAACACTCTCGCCCGAATCAATTCCCAAAGTTAAAAAAGGAAAAAAACAAAACGAATTTTTTCGTATTTAAAAATTTAACGTATCCAACAAGGAAACTATTGAAAATTTATGCGAAGTTGCCAAGTTTTTATTTATTTTCCTTTCGCCGTCGTTACGAAAAACACCGGAAACATCGGAAACGGAAAAAGAAAAAGAAGAAAACAAGAAAATTTTCTTTTTTTTTTTTTGTTCTAAATTTTTAAATCGAGAATAAGAAGAGAACGAAAAAGAAAGTTAATTGAGTTTTTTTTTTTTTAAATGTCGAAACGATTGTTTCTTCTTTTTCCTTTTAATTTTTTCCTTTTCCCAATTCATATTTCCATTGTCGGCATTAATTATTTTCCTTTTTTTTCTTTTTTTTCCACGATTAAAAAAAAAAAAAAAAAAAAAAAAACTTTTCTTTACATTTTTTTTCTTCCTTTTTTCCTTTTTCTACCGCGCTTTGTATGCCTTTAATTATTTTCACAATTCCTAAATCGTCATCCAATTACTTTTTTTTTTCTTCTTCTTCCTTTTTTTTCTCTCCTTTTTTTTTTAAGAAAAAAAAAATAATAATGATGATGATGAT